TTGACTGACGATTTTATGGACAGAGGGCGTGAAATAGACCAACGCTGCAATTACATATAAAGGTTTGGGACTTCGGCCGCAAAAATAAAAGGTTTAGGTGTAATCTGTAATAAAATAAAAGGTTTGGGATCGGAGCTGCAAATTTCTGAGTCAAAATTACTGTTTGAACGTTGACTAACGATTTTATGGACGGAATTCAAGATTTGGGACCGATGCTGCAATTACATACAAAGATTTGGGACTTCGCCCGCAAAAATTATAAGTTTGGGTGTAACCTGCAACAAAATGAAAGGTTTGAGATCGCGGCCGCAATTTTCCCTAAAATATCAAGAGTAGCATAATTTGCTACTAGAAAATTACACTTGTGGTCATCCAACTTCTATCTATATCTTATTGGGTTCGCTAAATTTCATTTTGTGCAAAAAAAATGCAAATTTTATTGCTACATTTAGCATTGATGGTTAATACTAGGTCGAGCCAATACATGAGTGAACTTCCAATTGTATCCCTATAAATATTTAGATTTCTCGGCTCGTGGGCTATACCCCATACCCATTGACCTTTTTGCAAATGTCAAATTGTGATCGTGAAAAAGTATACAGCATAATTAGACTTCATACATCTAACAATCTATACAGTAACTAATATTGTTCAATGTTGATACTTTTATGTGACTGACATAGGAGAACTAAGCCTCCGCATTTTTCTCCTTTTTTTTTAATTAGACATTCTTTAAAAAAATAATATTACACGTAAATTCAAAAATTTTCTTTCTTTTTTAACCGCACATTCTTTAAAAGACCATTACTCCAAAATACATTTTTCCTTGATATCTCATTAAAATGGAGCCCAAACAAGGGCTAAATTGAATGTAAACTCCATTTTGCCAACCCTGATCGTTAGGTTCATGAACACTGCATGGTTAAAGAGGCATGCTAAACAAATACAACATTCAGATTCATGCCTGTTGGGAGTAAAAGAAGTCCCACATCGACTAAACATGAGCAATATTATGGGTTTATAAGTGTAGGACAATACTTCATTGGTATTAGGCATTTTGGGCAGTATCCAAAAGCAAATTCGTGAGGGTCCATGCCCAAAGCGAACATTATCATACCAATGTAGAGTTTGACAAGTCCTAACAAGTGATATCAGAGCCCATGGCCCAAAAACTTAACCGAAGGAACGCAGCGGAAAACGTGGTGGAGGTCCCCTCCAATTAGCCTTGTATCTGGCCATAAACCATCAGCGTTTGAAGTGCCTTGTGTCGAAAGTCTCCTGACATAAAAATATGATAGTCACACGGCGGGTCTCGTTTGGTCGAAGGCGACAACAATAACGGCGGTACAAGATGATTGGCTGATGGATTATCGTTTGAGGGGAGAATTGTTGGGAGTAAAAGAAGTCAAATATCGGCTAGACATGAGAAATATAATGAGTCAATAAGTGTATGACAATACTCCATTGGTATGATGCCTTCTGAGTAGTATCCAAAAGCAAATTCGTGAGGGTCCATGCACAAAGCGAACAATATCATACAAATGTGGAGTTTGGCTGGTCCTAACAATGCCCAACAATCTTTATCTGAATTTCTGGCATTTCAAAGCATCAATTTACATGAAGCTGCAACAAAATTTTCAGTTACACGATATGGTTTCCCTAAAAAAAAATTCGACAGTGCACGCTTAAAGTTCGTTATCCCTGCACTAGTTTTACACACTCTAAACTATGTGCTTGTATGTTGAGTATCCCATTGAGGTTCATAATAGCGAAAAGAATAAAACTACATTTGCGCTAGTCATATATCAAGATGTATATTCATAAGCTAGAACGAGAATGCTACGGACTGTGTTTAGCCTTGTTCAAGGTTTTTACCAAACCATTGACAATTTTCCAAAACCAGAATGCGTTCATCGTTGCCAACAGAGGAGCTATTGTTAGCAAGCTGTAAAAGCCCAATGGAAACACTTCCTTGACCTGAAAAGAACAAAAGATAAAGTAAACACGATCCTTTTTCTACTTATTCATTTTTTGGTGCAAGGAGGATAACTAATGGTTGACTGCCACAGAAACTGAGAAATGGCAACCCATCTGGAAAAAGTCTCTGAAGCTTAAGAATGAACAAATAGAAAAAAAATTATTATAAGGTTCTTTATTGGTCATCAACCCGAAGAATACCTTATATCGCATTCTAGTCAAGCTTGCAACTAGAGGTGCATTCAGAGAGAAAATTTTGAGACCTCGTAACAGGTTCAAAATTCTCATTACCCCTTCTTATTTTTCCATGAGTGGGGTGTAGATTGTTTTCTTCAATCATCTGCCCCCTTTTCCAATATTTTGTCCAACTAAACCACATAAGTACAGGATCCCTCTACCCCTTAGAATATTGTGATATAGCAAGTATAAAGTACGACTATCTACCATCTGCAATTTATGATATCCTAGCGATTTGTTCGGTAAGGCGAAGACAGTAGTAAAGAAAAAAATGTTCTTATACTTTGTATTGTCTAATTATGTTTAATACTGCATGCCAAACATGCTCTGAGTGAATAGATAGGAAGATGGAGGCAAAACTGTCCTCAGGAAAACTATATGTTCAAAAATTTGTGTAAAAAAATAAAGATTAGCATGTCGCGGAAATATGGAACAAGGTTCCTTTGATTGCACGCAATTACGGGAAAATCTATGAAGATGTCATCCATATATCTCCAGATTTTTCTCTTCTTTCCGTTTCTTATATTCTCCGTTGGAACAAGCTTATAGGCGAAAAAATAATTTCTTGTCATATCCCCCTATTCAACAAACATCAGCTTTAAATAAGATGAAAGAGTAGGGTATACTAATGGACATTATGTTCCTTATAGCCTGAAAATTCCAGATTGAACCATTTCTTATCATTCAGTAATCAAATATGGCAGATAGAAGGGTCTTCTAGTTAAAAATTGCCTCAAGTTAGCATAACACAAGATTGGCTAAGATCTAATGCAATAATTTAGCATCAAGTATAACCAAGAACACGTGCTAAAAACCAAGGCAAATACAACATTCAATGGTTTCAAAATCTCAAATATTTTTTTCAAAATTCAGAAGTTGAAGTTTAATATGTTAATCTTGAAGGCTATTGATAAAACTAAAACAGGGATTGTCCAGTTACCTGATCAAAATGGATAAACATGTGGTAGAAAAGGAACACAAATAGAAGAACCCTTGCAACCTGCAGATCAAAAGTCTACGTGTTACAAACATCCATCAAGACAGTCAACTTAAAATGTAAAATAATATTATCCACAGCAATTCACAAATGTGTTGCATGTTACTTACTGTAATGAATATTCAAGTCACAAATATAAATATGTTATTTTAAATCCATTGTAGTAAAATAAGTTGGTGATTTCGGCGGTAAATGCTGTAATCATGTCCAAAAGAGCAGGCTAATGATCAAATGTTATAAGTTGCTTGTAAGGCTGATTCAAATAAATCGTACTGATGAAAACATTATATATACAAGCTATTTTCCTAGTGAAATCCTAAAATGCCCCTGCTACTCCCGGCACCTTTTTTCTTAAGGATCTAAAGAGGCAAATGGCTTTCATTTATAAAACTCTAATATTTCAAAAAAACCATAGATATACCAAAAAAAAATGGTAGACAGATTTTGGGCTGTGCATAACAATCTCAGATTTTAGAAACTCATCCACGCTTAGTTAACTGATCAATAAACTGAGTTTCCATTCTCCTGCAATATGTGCAGATTATATGATCGAGCAGAACACTGAACATTTTAGAGTAAAAATGCAGAATTCTGAAGTATAAAAGACCATACCAACCACCCAAAGAACAAAGCCACACCATTGAAGATGTAAAGCTTGGAATTCTTCTGGCCAGCAACATCAAGATACCTGAATGTATTGGAACAGAGATGAGTCCATGTTTAACACCTAAAAGATGGAACGGGGGAGGAAAAGATAGAAATCACTTCACCATCTTAGGTTAACAAAAGGAGTTGTGCATTCAGAAAAGAGAACCATCAGTATATAGATTTGTGCTCGACCACTTAGAAGTGATAGAATGATTGAATACGTAGAGAGTCCATGGTGTAAGACCTAGCAAATGAAATGAAATAATTCGAATTGAAATTCTCAAGAAATAAAGAGAAACAACATTTCAATGCAAATGATAATGACTTCTCTCAAACAATTCAAGCTGAATCCACCAATTAACACCAAACTTGAAAAAAAGAATGATATTCCAACTTGGCCTTACTACTAACTTGCTTTCCCAAAAATGGGTAGGAAATAGATAAGAACGCATATACAGTACAAATACAAAAAGTTACAAGTATTTTCAAATTAAAATACATTACCAGGGATCAGATAAATCAAAGTGCTTCCTAGTTCAAGAACAACATGGTGAGTATATTTAATGTTTTAAGATGTACTTACAAACTCCAAACCTCCTAAAACAGGAAAGTGATAAAGAAGTATTGCTGAATCCGAGATAAAATAGCCTATGGAAACCTGTATTGTTGGAAAACAAAAGAATCAAAATAAAAACATAAGTCAAGGAAAAAAAAATAACGGATTTAAAAATGATTGAAGAAGTTTATAAAAATTAAATAACAAGATGAGAAAGTTAGAACGTCAATTAATTCTCCCAGAATGATATACAGACATATAAAGACTAGAAAGTTGGTTTCTCAATAATTTGACAGGGAATGGGAAGCAATCATATAAGGGACAGATAATCTATACTGGTCAAGTTCCAAATTAGGAACTCCTAGTCAATTAGGTTATTTCTTCATCCGCCTTTTGTGGACCTATATATCTGCGGTACCTTTTTGATAAATAGAAAATCAGATTGCTATATGGAAGATAGTGGACATTTTCATAACTTGACTCTAAGGTCGTCATAACGCCCTTCAAAAATTTCTTATGATGCATCATGTGTTAGTCATGAGAATAGAATTAATCTTCAAACTATTTCTCATGATTCATCTATTCAACTGGATTTTCTGTCCATATTTACAATTATTTCAAAAGTCCTTTTCTAACAGAAGACTTCTAATGTTTAAACCTAAACTGAGTGCATATTAATTACTTGACCGTAGGATTTGGATGTTAAATCCATTTCTTGTTCGTGGGACTTGTTAGTATACTATGAATGCTTGTTATTTGCCTATGACTACTCAATTAGAAGTCATCTTTCTTCCGCTCCCACTGCAATTCCATTGCTTTCATATGCTTCATTTATGGATTTTAAAAGCTTTCAAGCATGGTAGCCGTCTTTCACTAAATGTGGTTAGATGTATCTCATCGCTACCTTGCTAATTTATTTTATGGACAAAAGTTTTGATCAACTGACGTAAAATGACAGGGAACAAGAAGGAAACAAATGGGAGACTATCGATTAATAATAGGTTTTACTATTTAATGTAATTTATTACAAGTTAAGAATGTTTTATAAATATTGTTTCCTAATCTTCGGACATGTGGTCAATAAAGGTATTTCTTAATTCTACAACCCTTTGTAGGCCTACATAAATAAGACATATCTGGGTTTTTGGTACTTTTGACAATCACCAATTTAATTGATATATTTTTGCAATTAAATTAACTCCAGATGTAGTTTAGTTTTAATCAATTCTTGTTATGCATCATAACCATAAGGAGGCAAAATGATTTTCAATTTATCTCCCTGCAACGAACCACAGAATCTGTCGCATAAAGAAAGAAATGTAGAAATGGCTCTCTCATGGGTAACGAGACCTATAGCCATGCACTATCATGTGTAGAAAAATATCTACAATGCCATGTTGATGCAAGCCAATAATAAGTAACCAAACCTATTAAGAAAATATAATTCCATGTTCAGTTAATTTTGACATGGCCACTTGCAGTAACATACCCCCATTACGGTGTCCGATAAAGTCGATGTCATGTTTATATTGAAGTTGTGAGCACTATCAAAAACACGTGACCTAAGTAAGAGATACAAAGAACCAGCTGCTACAACGATGGCATGGAATGTGGAGAAACCCCTGCCACAAAAGAAAATTCCAATTGTTACATTATTTCAAAATTCATTTTGAAATGGGGGACCATATCATAACATCAAAACAGAAACAGGCACAAGAAACAAAATAACCTGTTGTTCCAGTCCAGCTTCTCATTACGATTAAGTTTGCTATATCCCTTGAAGAACAAAGTGCTTATCGTACCTGTTAAGTCATAAACCTTCAACAACAAAATTGGAACTCTTTAAAGGGCATCAGAAATGACCAAGGTATGCTGATCAGCAATAAGACTCTGCTAAAGGGCAATTTTTCTATTCATTGTCATTAAAAGGGCCAAGTTTTAAGATGATCATAACAAACAATATATGCAGCCATTGTATAGAATCACGTCCTAAACCTAATACTTCTTGCTGGATCTATCGCTAATACCGGCCTTTGGGAAAGTGATAAATCATCTTCCCTCGTGAATGAAAAACTTGTTTCTGGTTTCAACTTGTTGCTTTCGGTCTCTCCCTCCACACACCCCACCCCACCCCACTCACCGCATTTTCTTTAGACCCACCAAACAATAAAAAGACTCAGAAGAGATAAAAAATAGTGTATGTTTCTAGCGCACACACTTCGGATTGAACATTGAAAAATCATCTCTCCCTTCATTTTTTGTATTGACTTTATGTCAATCCAGTTCTCCCCTCACAATTCACTGAAGAAACAACCTACCAAATAACAAGGACCAGAAATCCACACAAATACTATTACAAAATCAAATGATTTCCACGTTCCATCAACAATTTTTTTCGAAAGGGAGAGAAACGGATATTACATATATAAAAATACAAAACCCAGCAATAAATTACAGGCAAAAAAGCTTAATCCAGAAAATTCGACTTACAATTTTGCACATCAAAATACCAGCAAAAATAGATGACAACCAGTTCAATATTTTGCTTGGAGTAGCATGCCCATCAATATTTATCAACCCAAGTGCTATTTCCGAATCCCACATCTTTACTTTCCAGAATCTCTGAAAAATAACGTCCACAAATAACAAATTAACAAACTGCAAAAACATTATTTAAAAAAAATGTAGTGTTACAAGACGATGCATGTACGTTACCAGAAGAAGAAAAAGGTCTAAATCTGCAGAGCAAATATGAATTAGAACAGAATTACCATTAGTGCCACAGAGTTAGAAGTGATCAAGTAAATTTTGTAAGTAGTTTTATCAAGATATAATTGGAAAAGTCTTCCATTTCTTGAGGGAAGAAAAGAAATAAAAATGGAAAATTCCGTTGGCGGAGATATTGTGCTTGTAATTGTATGTATCGTAGTGAGCTGCGCGGAGAGGTCAAAGCCGAAAAAATGTTTGAATAATCATATGCTAACAAGTGTGGGCCCATCTGCAGTTTCATTAAAAAGTCAACCTTTATACACTTTTATATATTTTTTTCATTGATTAAACTTAAAAATAAATTGAGTACTGCTATTTAATATCGTGACGATGAAATATAACTACTTATTATTCCTCACATTTTTTTCCCTCCTCCTTCTTTCTCTCGCAAAAATTGAACTGTCAAATCTCATCGTTCCAAGTAAACTGTCATATCTACGATATTTCATCATCGTAATGATAAATAACATTATTCAAATAAAATACTTAATTTCAATATTAATTTTAACCATACATTTATAACCGTTTCTTGATAAATACATTTCGTGGGACCCACTATTGTTCCATATTTATAAATTATTTATAAATTTGCCAAACGAAACACGTTACTATCCACATATCTATTACTCATTGTTACCTATTATAAATTGAACCGTTTATAACTTCTTTTCAAATGGAGATAATAAATTAATAATTACTTCTAAAGCTATCTCTATAAACATGTAGTTGACAAAAAAAAAATTAATAATAATAACTTTACTCGAGAGTAATTGATTTTGCATTGCATTATCAAGAAAAGTAAATTTAGTTTTTAACCACGCGTGCTGTTTGATTGTGCTTAAAATTGACTCAAATTTATTTTGAAATTACTTATTTTATCAACGTAATATTCTAAACTTCTTAAGCGCTTAGCCAAACACGAGTATTTTGGTTGCGATCGCTTATTTTATTAAACATTAACTTTTATAAATTAATTTTTTATTAACAAAACTTACTTTTCTAGACTTGTTTGGCAGCTCAAAAATTAGTAATTTTGTGTTAATCAAAGTTAAAAATAGTAAATTAATATTACATTTTTTAATTTGAAAATAAGTTAAAAATAACTTATCTAAGTTATTCAATATCGGGTGGCATTCTAAAGTATAATTTAAATTCTTCTGGTGGACTTAAATTCAAGAACCATGCAAATTTTGCGGTTGACTTCAATAATAAAAATTAGTAAATAAAGTTTGATCATATTATCATTACTTGGTGGAAAGTTGCCTAATGGTCAAGTAAGACAGCTGTGTTGCAAGCAATATATGAATCTTGCTTGTGGTACAACTATGTTTGCAGTGTGCTTGAATAGCATACCCTAACAAAAATACTGCAAGTATAAATTTTTTCTACAGAAATTTGAATTTTACTCATATGGGGGCGGACCCCATATGATCAAAAATTTGATTTTTCCACCCCCCCTATTGTTTCTATCCTGTATGGGTATAGAAATTTGAATTTCTGTACCCATAGCAGAACTCTAAAAATAAAGTATGATCAATTTATAATATAAAAAAAATGGTCAAATAGGGACTAAATAGCTGGTTCAGTTCAATCTACGATAATTGTTGGGTATTTTGTAAATGGGATGGTCGGATCCAACTTAATAATGGAATTAACCATTCGAATCGAATCGATTCGGTTCAGTTCGATTCGATTTGTTTTGATTATGTACCATACTTAAGTTTTTTTCATTATTCTCATAATTTCAACAATTGTTTTTCGTTCTCGTAATGATTGAAACAACACAACAAATTTAAAAACACAACCAAGAAGTTGTCAAATTAGCATAATCATGTTCCTTGGATTGACAACCATTCATCTAGAGTAGCCTTTTTTCTTGGTTGTGGTTGTCAAATTGTATATCTCAAATTGTATATTGTAAGCTACAGTATGGGTAGGGTTTTAAAGGTTAGAAAAGAAATACATGAGTGATGACACATAATTTATCTTTTATCTTTAAAGAGACGTGTGCTTAAAGCAATTGACTATTTTTGCATTGAAAATGCCCAGTATAGATGGAAGAAGTTAAATCTCACATTTGTGAGAGGAAAATTCCTTGCTATATGCGCAAAAAGTGAAACTATCATCTTGCTTATCCATCTCTTGAAGTCACTCTCTAAAATGGAGTCATTATCAAGGAAGAAACCTCACTGCGAATAAAGATGAAAATATAGACTAATATATAGAGATTTTGGCTGCTCGTTTTAATGAGGTCGGTTTTCAAAAAGGAACCCCAAATCTTAATATAATATTAGAGCTTATGAAACTTCAATGAACAATTCAATCTGATTAAAATTCAAAAAAATGAACATGCAAATTTCAAAATTGATTTGCTCAAATGAGCTACCATCTTATATGGACGTGTTAAGGGATAAATCACATATCAAATAAATATGAAAAATATAGACTAAAAATATGGACTTGGGTTACTCTTCTTAAAAATGTTAATATTTTAAAATGAAACTTCAAATTTTAATTCAAATATATGTATTCTTGCGCTAGTAAAAACCCAGATGCTCCCCATTTTTTTCTATTAGAAGCACGCGACTTTGGTGCATCACAAAAGATACGTGATTCCATTTTGTCTGAGCTACCTGCATTTGCAGCAAAGGCAATATAAGGCATGTTTCATCCTTCTTAGAACCTTCAATTTAACGTCGTGCAATTGTTTCATCATGTGTCATGCGATCAAAAAATCATTTTCATCCATGTTATATATGTCTCATAGTGAGTCGGTCGAAGTTTTTCTCTGTATTAATAGGTTCACTTTCTTCAAGTGACGTTTGAATTTTGAAACCATGACAATTGTTGAAATCTGAAAGTCATCCATTAGAGAACTATGGTGCATCGTCTCCCAAGGACATGTAGTTTGGTGATTCCACAATTTCTTTTATCAGTTCTGCTGATAAACGCTACTTGACGTGCTCGGCATTGCAAAACTCAAATTATGAAAGACATGTGAAGTTTGGAGTGTGCTTCTTTGATGGTTAGCCATGCTTTCATATTGTTGGCGCTTAGCAATGATGTTGTTGATTAATTCCTTGTGTTGGGACTTTCAAAGCCGAAATTGCTCCATTGCACATTTGGCAAGGGCGAATTGCATGATGGAGGGACTTCTTGCTTTGTGCAAACAAATTTCAAGTCTTCGAAAATATTGTTGAATGAAGTAGAAGGTTTCATCATGCGAAGAAATGATTAAGTATAATTACAGAAGATGAAGTTACGCTTTCACTATTCTAGATTTTATAGATTTAACATTTTTCTTAACTTTGGTCTTCTCATATTTTTTGCATTTTTAATTTGAGATATATAACTCCTACATTTAATTTTTAATTAAAAATGTATATCAAGCTCATTGATAACTTACAAAGATTAAATTATCATGACTTTCTAACTTACAAATAGGTGCTAAAATAGTCATAAGTCGGCAGTGCTACAATTGTTTATTTTTGCCGTTGGAGTGTTAATTATGTCAAATTTTCTAGTTTGATGAATTTATGGGCCCACCCGATTAAACCCTACCCGTCAAAACATATTTATCTCTACAAGTTCTGAAAAGCCTCAGAGCCCAGAAAACCGTACGCGCAACCGCGTTACAGCCATCCCCGTCGGCTTCTCCACCGCACTGTAGAATTTTGTGGTATAGTCAATTTATGCACAATTTACTGAGATACAGCGCACAAATCTCGACGCGACTGAATTGCAATTACTGCATTTAATTTGTATTAGCTGATTTCAGAAGGATTTGTATTCCAAGATTTTAATTTTGAGATTGACTTCCAATCTTTATTTAGTGTTATGGTACTCAAATATTTATATATATTTTAGTATTAGACTACTAGGGAGAGTTTGTACGAACCTGATGCAAAATTATGCGTTTATTCACCTAATTAATCTTCATTTATTTAATATTGCAGCAGCTGGACTAGAAATCATGTCTTGGTGCACTATTGAGTCGGATCCTGGTATGTTTTTTTTTAAGTATTTAAAATTTTGTTTGAGCAGGTTTCACGATATTGGAGATTAATGGGTAATTTTTGTTGTTTGAAAAAAAGCACTCTAGTGAGGGGTTGTTTGGTGAGGCTGCTAGAGGCACTAGGTTACCATTTTTGCCTTCAACAGTCAATTTGAGTGTTTATTTCTCAAAAGTTAGCTGTCATTGATGATACATTCTATGACAAAGTCAATTCTTGGAAAGTCTTATGCTTGTTTTTCTATTTTGCGCATTGCTACATATGCAAATTCTCTTAATTCCATTTGACCTCATTTTCTCTGTTTTTTTTTGCATATTTGCATTTGTATCACTCCAGATCTCTGTTCCGAATTTGCTATCTGTGAACTGTGTTCCTCGTTTAATTAACTCATGTAATATGATAAACAAAAAAGACATCCACGAAGTTACATTAAAGTGCTTATTTGATTTTGAATTTATGAGTATAGTCCATTAATGGATTTTGGGTAATAATGAAGTATGAGCTGAAATCCATTTCCTTGATACAAAATGTTGTGTGTCCAAGGAAGTGTGCATCATCTTGGCTGATGATGGAAGGGGGACAGGAATTGGACACTATGGGGAGAGGAAGAGGGAGATTGGTGACAGTAGTGGTGGTGGGGGAAGTCCAATTCTTCTTCTTCTTCTTCTAATAAATTGTTGTTTTCTTTTTTTGGCTTAACATAAAGTGATTGTGTAATTTTCAATTCATGGAATATCCATTGTCACGTGAGAGACACACGATATTTTTAATGAAATTTTAGGGACGGTGTCCTTATTAGGACCAGAAGGCTTCGATTTTAAAGTTGGGATCCATTCGTGTAAAGAAATTTAATCTGAACACAAGTGCACATTTACGATTAGATTGGTACCACGTGTAATCATGATTTAAAAGAAATATTAGAGGCTTACGCCTCGAATCACGCCTCATGTGAGGCTATCATAAAAGGCTTCAAAACCCATATATTTGAGGCCAGTTGTGAGGCTTACGCCTTAACCTAGCAAGGCTTACGTCTCAAGCCAACTAAGTTGTTTGCTCTTTTGCCCTGCATTTTTCAAACATTTCACTATTGGCCTTAGCTTTTTCAGTTTTTTGGTATAATCTTAAATGTTTATCTCGTTCTTTTATTTTTCTTTTTCTACCATCAAAGAAGGAAAATAGGAAGAAGAATACTCCATTGCAATTGGAGTTTGATGACAGAATGAAAATAAACTTGTAATGAGGATGATGATATAAATGATCCCTTAAAGATCATAAAAGTGGGGATGGTATAAGAATATTTTGATTAGTCAAATTTTTTTTTACATGATTACTAATTTGAGAATTTATTGTTTTCTATTTTCTTGATCTATTTTATATTTGTTTGCTACTTAGACTTCTGATTTTGTTATACTTTCATTTATTTTGAGTAGTCAATTTTTTTTACATGATTATTATGTTTTTCATATATTTTGATTTATTTATGGTTCTATTGCTTACTTGTCACCTCACGGAGATAAAACACTTTTGTACCCGATTAAGCTTTTTTAGACATTGGGTGTAATTTTCTTTATTCTTGTACTCTTTAAGGCTTTCTTAAAAATTGGAGGTTAGATAAACAAATCTGTATATATACTATAAAATAAGATGATTTCCTTATCGAAATTCACAGTACAACTTCCAACATATTTATGCTCATAAGCAAAACAAGGATTCAATTCTTTGATTTACACTTTTCACCTCAAGCCATGTTGGCAGGGATGAGATTCTTAAGAAATTCGTCGAATCCAATAAGTTGACATTATAACTCAGGAACATGACCAATTTTTAGCATTACGTTGTATTTTAGTGACTGACAATTGCTTGTTCTTCTTTAGCAACCTTGAAAAAAGGAAAAGGGTTGTGAAATTTTTTTTAGTTAGCCTCTAGGAGTAGATTAAGTCAAGACTTAACATACCCACAAATGGCATTCAAGGCATAAACTTCTAGGCTTTTAATGAAAACCTCAAGTGAGGTGCAACTTGAGGCATAAGCCTCCAAAGTTTTTTAAACCTCAGGAAAGTAATTCGTATATTATTACTCTCAAATCAATCGTGAAAAGTATATTCTTTACCCTTCCCTGTCGCTAGCAGTTCCTCTTCTTGTTGGTAATGGAGTTCTCAAACTCTGTTTTTTTTTTCAATCTGGATCTATCTCTAACAGTTATTTGTGTTGAAACATTAACTGATCAAAGACCTTAAGTTGTTAGTCATCACAATGCCGCCGTCTTTAATCTGATCTGCACTTTCGCATCTCCTTAGCTTTTTTTCTAGGATTTTAGTAGTTGGTTTCCATTTAGAGCCCGTTTGGTGTACATTAAAATGAAAGAATGCATTTTTTGGAAGTGATGTGATGGGGAATATGTGTTTGGATTTCATTGTGATGAGGTCTAAAACCTTACATTCATATTTTCAAGTTTTTGGTTTTTGCTGCAGGTGTTTTCACAGAACTTATACAGCAGATGCAAGTTAAAGGTGTGCAGGTACTATTGAGATTCTTAGCTTGTTAGGTTTCGAGTGGGGTTTCTTTTTTCCTTGTGGGGGAATAAGTTTATGACTTTTGGTTTTCCCAATCTCATATATATAACATCATATGAAATATAACCAGTTGAAACTTGTTCAAATTGTATGTTAGCAGTAAAATTGGTATATTCTAATCTATACCTTTCCCCTATTTGATCATTATGAAGCAGAATATTGAAAAAAAAATATCAGTAAGCCCCTGTTTGGCGGCAATTAAAATGAGATTTTTAGTAGATTTTGATAAAAGTTGATGGAATGTGTGGTTAAAAATTGTGGACTCCGTAAAATATGTGTTTGAATTTTGGCGGAAATTAAAATCAGATTTTTAGTAGATTTTGATAAAAGTTGATGGAATGTGTGGTTAAAAATTGTGGACTCCGTAAAATATGTGTTTGAAATTAATTGTTGACTTTGACTTACATTAAGATCTAGATTTTGATCATCACCAAACAGGGGTAATAGGAATAAACTCTTCTACAGTAAGACTTTTGCGCTCCCTTTTCTTTCTTAGCAGTTTAAATTACGAAAATGCTTCAATGTGTCGTAATTTCAGTAGCATTAGTTTAGAATGGTGAAAGTTATTGATGAAGTAATCTAAGAAGAGTGGCCCTAGCTTACTACAATGTTTGCCAGGTCAAATCAGTTTCGTTGTTAATTCAAATCATAGAAACTTGTGTGCTAATAATAATGTTATCATTTATATCGATTATTTTCAGGTAGTGGCATGTAAAAAGTTCGATGTTAGTCTGTGCTGCTTCATGATGTTTAGCCTAGGCTTGATATATGTTTGTCAATGTATCAATTTATGACTGGTATAACATTCTTCATTTATTCATTTTACCTCTGAAATGAACAATAGCAGAAAGAACATTTTCTTTTGGTGACGTCTCTTTTTTTATATATAAAACAGAAAAAAAATTAAAAAATCGTCAATCGTGTTTTTTAGTAAAGTATACTTTACCAATCTTAGCCCTCCATCCACCAATAGAATGCTTCCATATCATCTTTTGGTACGTTTTTCCTATTCATAAAATAGAAATTTTGTTTGACATATCCTCCAAACTACCTTTTGTAAAGAATCAGCACAACCCATTAAAAAATCAATTTCACTCATGATCCCATACACAATTATGTACCTGGTACTGTTACCACCTCCATGCCAACACATGTCAATGTCAACTGTCATGATCTCACTATTGCTGTCCCTGGCTCCCTGCTAAGCCTCCAACACCTTCAAACCCATAGATGATTGAACTATTTAACTCAAAAATTAATTGCCAGTAATCATTGAATCATAGAACTCATTGCAGAAGACTGGAAGCTGCTTCCCAAGGATGAAAATGGAAGAAAAACGATGACCTCATCAATGAAAAATGAAGGTTTCAATAATAAAGTAATTCTAGCCTCTTTGAACCCAGTTTATATGAATTAATTGAAACTTTAGATTTAATAACCTAATGTACTATTTTAGGGTGATTAAATGAATGAACCAAGAAAAATAGGAAATTACTATTAATCTAAGATATTATTTTAATGATCAAGATTATTTGTTGTAATTTTATTGAATTTTCATTAATTTTCTGTATTTCTATATGCAAGAGAGAAGTTGGCTCTCTCTCTCTCTCTCTGAAAATTTTACAATCAAGGGGAAGAGTTTTAGGCAATAATTACTGTATGAGCATAGATAAAAAGATGAGAACATTCTGTGTGGAGATGGCACGGAGATTTTGGTGCCTTGTGTAACTCAAGGGAAATATCTCTGAACCAGTCTGAGCATGTTTGGCATGTTGATAGTTTAGTTATTCTGAAGCTAGATGTAGATAGGAGATTCCTCTGTTTGAGTCAATAATATGATTTAAAGAAGATATAAAGCTTTATTATGAGTATTATCTTCTCCCTTTTGTTCTGCTGCTTTTTATTTTTTTCTCTTCCCTTTTTTGTTGTTCTGTTGTGTGTACGGCCACACAGGGTTTTCAGCTGTAGGTGATTGGGTTATTTTTGTTTGCTGCCCTTTTCTTCTATAGATCTCCTTTGCTACTGTTTCCAATAAAAGATCATGTTTCCTCACTCAATTATGTGATGCGCAAGCAGGTTGAGGAGTTGTATTCACTGGATCTTGATTCTCTAAACAACCTAAGGTAAATCCATTAATGCACCTCCTGTTGTCTAATTTATTTTGCACTTGCTCACATCTTTGGATTTTTCTCTTTCTATTTCACAATTTACAGACCTATATATGGCCTAATATTTCTTTTCAAATGGCGTCCCGGTGAAAAAGATGGTCGACTTGTGATTAAGGATCCAAACCCAAACTTGTTTTTTGCCAGCCAGGTCAGTTTCCGTGCAATGATACAATTGTATCTGCTGGACGAATAAATTCAATTCTGAACCACATTAATATTACCGATTAATTATAATTACAGGTGATCAATAATGCATGTGCAACGCAAGCAATCCTGTCAATTCTGATGAACAGTCCAGATGTTGACATTGGCCCAGAGCTGTCGGCCCTGAAAGAATTCACCAAAAATTTTCCACCTGAGCTTAAAGGTCTGGCTATCAATAACAGCGAAGCAATTCGCACTGCACATAATAGCTTCGCAAGACCCGAGCCATTTGTACCTGAAGAGCAGAAATCTGCTGGAAAAGATGATGATATCTATCATTTTATAAGCTATATACCCGTTGATGGTGTTCTGTACGAGCTTGACGGATTGAAGGAGGGACCCATCAGCCTCGGGCAGTGTCCAGGTGGGCAAGATGATATCGGATGGTTAGAAATGGTACAACCTGTGATTCAAGAACGCATCGAGAGGTATTCCCAGAACGAAATACGGTTCAACCTAATGGCTATTATAAAGAACAGGAAAGAGATGTATACAGCCGAGCTCAAGGATCTCCAGAGGAAGAGGGAAAGAATCCTCCAACAACTGGCGGCCTTCCAGTCAGAGAGGATTGTAAATAGCAGTAACGTGGAAGAGCTGAACCAAACTCTTTCAGAAATCAATGCTGGGATTGAGGCTGCTACTGAGAAAATATTGATTGAGGAAGAAAAGTTCAAGAAATGGAGAACGGAAAATATTCGCCGGAAGCACAATTACATTCCCTTTTTGTTCAACTTTCTGAAGATCCTTGCTGAAAAGAAACAGTTGAGACCACTCATAGAAAAGGCCAAACAGAAAACAACGGAATCCTAGATTAATCTATGCACTGCTTAGGTGAAATGTTCTTATGTGAATTTGGAAAATGTTTGCATATTCATCTTAGGATCTGATGTTACTGCCCCTTGTTTATCTTTACTGTATCTAATGGATACAATCATAGTTTGAAAAAACGTAAACGGGTACTGAGGCTTTTTTTTGTCATGAGGCGAAGCGTAAGCCTCAAAACGTTTTGAGGCGTAAGCCTCACCACAAACAAAATAGGTGCAATCTGTCGAACAGAAAAGGTGCAATCTGCCGTCGATGCACTGAACAAGAAAAAAGTCAAGCAAAGTCTAGTGAAACAATTTTAAATTGTAAGTCACTAGCAGAAGGCAGAAGCAAAGGAGAAAAGAGACATAGAAGCAGCACTTGAGGACTTCTTTTAAACGAATGATTGAAGATAAGTTTTCT